GATTCTCTACTTTCAGTATTGGCACACAGGGGTCGGGTTTCACGGGTTGTGGGTTTAGAGTTTTAGGATGCCAGGGGTTAGGCTTCAGGATATTTAGGGTCTAAACGCTAAACCCTAAACCCCAAAAACCCTAAACCCTAAACCCTAAAACCCTAAACCCCAAACCTAGGGTTTAGGGGCAAACTCTCCACTGCACCACTGCACTAGCAGATCGGCCTCTCCCTCGGCGAGCTCGCTGTGCAAATATCTCCTTACTTGAGACTCTGCGTTGAGGGTTGAGGATTCAGGGTTTAGGGTTTGGGGCCCAGCTGCACACAGGTGTAGCAGCGGCATGGTAGCTGGAGGACTTTTGGAAAACGCAGCGCACATGCTATCATAATAAACACATCTGGTAGAAATGCTGGAACAGAGTGGAAACAGTGGAAACTGCAGTGGCACCGAGGCGGGAAAAGGAGGAGCACGATAAACATAAATACGCTGTCGTTGTTGTTGACTGTTGACAATAGCGAAGAATTAGAGCATGGCGATGGTGATGATGCTGATGTTGATGGCAAAGATGACGAAGGATGGCGATGAGCTACTGATGATGATGATGATGATGATGATGGTGATGGTGATGGTGATGGTGGTGATGACGATGGTGATGCTCATGCTCATGCTCATGCTGCTGCTGCTGATGATGATGATGATGATGGTGATGCTGGTGATGATGATGCTGGTGAAGACGAAAACACAACAATGACGACAATGATGACGATGGTGGTGGTGGAGAAGAAGATTAGGAAGATAACGACGACGACGACGACGATGATGATGCTGGTGATGATATGATGAAGACGTCCGTTCTCTGTCGTGGCCGTGGGGGGGGGGGGTGGCAGCAGTCTCATCCTCTGGATCATCGTCATCATCACCACTGCTACGGCCAGCATCATAACATCACCATCACCCTTGTCACCTACACACACACATATATATATATGTATATGTCTGCATGCAGGCGCTGTTTTCTCGACGGAGAGACAGGGAGAAGCAGCTATGTCATGCAGAACTGCAGGGGGCAACTGCAGTGTTTGTGTGCGTGTGTATGTGACGTATAAGATCTTGCAGCGGAAACTTCATGAGCCGCCCTTCTTCTGCCACATGTGATGATCTTAAACTTGCACAGGCTCAGAGAAGTCATTGCCGGTGGTGGGTGATTCTCTGTTGGCCTTAGAAGATGCATCTTTGCGCCTAAACTCAAGCCTCCCACTGCTGTTTAAGTACAAAGCCCATATCGAAGCACCGTAAATAAATTCGCTGGGAGTCTGCAGCAGCTCGTGTTCATGCTCTCCAGCCGCCTCCTCCGGCGCCGGTTCGTAGTCGATGGTGATGGACAAGCAGGGCAAAGGATCTTCCCTTGTGCCGAGCTGCTCTCTCACCCATCATGGCAGAAGAAGCATACCACATATCACCATGTTCTGTTACATTGCATTATGTGCTTTACCATGTCTAGTAATCGTGTGTATCTGTAAAGCAATCGCCACCATGATCACCGCCACCGCCGCCAATCATCACCCATGCTGTTGTGGACAGCTTGTTGGGTTCGTTCTGAAGCCTTTCGACATCCATCGGCTCAGCAACCAGATGCTTGAGAATGCAGGGCAGTCGCACAGCCTGAGGCAGATGATGTGTAGGATGTGTACATGTACCAAGTGCACAAGGACGACACCTCATGCAATGCTGCAGCAGTAGGAGAATGATGCGGGTGGAAACAATGCTGGTGACAACGTGAGCGGCAGAGCGCACAGAACTTCGGCAGCACTGCCAGTAGCATGTTTTGCATCCAGTGCCTTCATCAACATCATCAACATCATTATGCTCATGATCAACCTCGTGGTTAATTCAACATCAAACATCATTGTCACCAACAACATCAACATGACCTTCGGCACTCCAGCAGCTCCCACCCCTGGAAGTGATTTTTGTTCTGGCCATTTAGATTCGCGAGAGATCGCAGGTGGTTTTAAGTGGGGTGATCGGGGTGCCATGTGGATTTGGCCTTGGGCGTTTCGAACTTTTAGGCTTAGCTGGCACAAGCACATGGCGCTGCTACTGGCAGGCTTCTACAACCCTGAATCCTGATTCTCGATGTTTCGGCCGCAGGAATCGATGAGACATGCAGCCCTAAACCCAAACCCAAAACCCTAAGCCCAGTGCACCGGTGGCCTTCCCATGTTGGCCAGAACACCTTGCCACTCAGCTTCCTGCCGAAGCGATCTAGGCTTTCAGGGTCTTGGGGTTAGGATAAGGGAGTGTAAGGGACGTAAACCCTGAACCCTAAACGTAAGTCTCGGGTTTTGGGGATAGGATAAGGGACTGTAAGGGACCCTAAACCCTGAACCTTAACGTAAATCTTGAAGCCTGGGATGTGCCCTTTGACAGCACCCGCCAGCCGAAGGCTTCCGTCTGTTATGGCAAAAGATGCCTCCAGGCTCTGAAGATCTAAAAATGGGACCGGAAGGGTTTAGGGTTTAGGGTTTGGGGTTTAGAGTTTTTAAAGCATTGGGCCGTTGATCTCTCGCACACCCGGCGAGTTGTTCATGTTCAGACTTGCACTGAATGGTTTAGGGTTTGGGGCCTAGGGTTTTAGAAACATATGGTTTCGAGTAGGGGTATCTTTCTGTAGGGGGTCACTCAATGAGAATCGTGCTGCCGCTTGCGGTCTCGACTGCAGCAATGGCTCTCTATTCTATTTTCTGGAAGTCCAGTTGATTTGATTCCCGTCCGCAAACGGGGGCTTGTCGTTTAGCTGCAAGCCTTGCATAAATCTTCATGTGGCAGAATCCCAAACCATAAACCTTTCAGAAAACTTAACGCCCTCATGCCCAAACACCTAGGAGTCAAAACCTCAAACCTCAAGTTCGAAATCCACCTCATAGCAACCTCAGGTCAGCCAGGGTCAACCCTTTGAGATCCCCTACTTACAGGATCATGGGCCTTAGTCAGTAAGGTCATAAGTCCCTGAATTGTTACCTTCTTTATAGCCTTAGTGACTCAGTCCCATGTTCCTTCACGTAGCAAAAAAAAAGAACAAATCAATCCGGCACCAAACGCATCCAAAGCCCGGAGGCTTCGAATCTAGGCTACACTAAACCTTAACCCCAACCCCAAACCCTAAACCCCAAAGATCCCTAAACCCTAAACGGCCCTAAACCATAAAGATCCCTAACATAATCCCTTCAACCTCAGTTTCCACTCCCGTCCTCGGTGTCCAAAGGAGCCTTCTTGGCTTTAGCCGGTGATGCTTGCACCTTGCCCGAAGCTAAATTTTAAAGGTCCATGTACCCAAATAATAACATAGGGTTTAGGGTTTAGGTTTAGGGTTTAGGGTTTAGGGTATACTTTGCCCCTTATCGTTTCCTAGAGTAACCAATGTAGCTATAAACAAGGGATATGGAGCCTAAACAACTGGAACATGTACCGTTTGCGTAGAGTACCTTGGTTGCTCTACAGGTATACCCCTGACCCCTAAACCCTAAACCCTAAACCCTATAAACCCTAGACCCTAACACCCTAAACCCTAAAACCCTAAACCCAAACCCTCAACTTACATGTTCCTGCAGACGTGCGAGGATGAAGCCGAGGGAGGTTGCTCGCCTCCCAGAGCCTCTGGGGCCAAACCTTCGCCTTCAAAAAAGGGGTTCAGGACCCTAAAGAACCTAAACCCTAAACCCTAAGCCCTAAACCCTAAACCCAAAGCCCTAAACCCTAAGCCCTAAACATACCATAAAGAACCTACCTCTCAAGAGATTTCTACACAGGAGATCCTAGGGAGGAGCCCTAAAGGGGGGTGGAGGTTTTACCTTGGGGCAGGTCTCAGGCTTTAGGGTTCATCAGAGTTGTAAGATGCGGTGGAGTTTCGGGATTCCGGCTTGCGTTTCGATGATTTTAGGAGTCACGGGAGGAGGTTGATGGCCCTGGGGTGACGGGTTCATCACTACGTCTCGCAAAGTTCAGGCACCTTCGCAACAGGCGCAGAGGTGCTCCGCTGCGCCAGGAGGGCCTCCGAATGCTGATGCTGTCTGCCCTAATTCGGAACTTCATAGGCATCGGCATTACCATTCACCATCATCAGCATGATCATGATCATCACCACCATCATTACCATCATTCTAATCACCGTCACATCCTGACTGTCAGCTTCTTCTGCTTGTTGAGCATCGTAAATGTCGGCGGCATAGACTTCATCAGCATCATCGAGGTGTTGCTACTCCTCATCACCGTGGCTGTCATTGCGGTCATCATCATCATCTTCATCAGCAGCAGCACCACCACCACTCCCACCAGCACTACCACCACCAAAAAATTGTAGCATTGCAACCAGTGTCAAGGTCATCATCACTGCCATCACCGTCGTCATCATCATCCACAACAAAAGGCCCTCATGGCCCTTGGGCCTTCTGTCTCTTGCAGGAGCAACAGTACCACCAAGATCAGGAGCAGCAAGAGCAACAAAAGAAGTCGTAGCAGCGAAAAACTGGGAGCATGAGTTGATTACGGATTCGCCTCGACCAACATGAAAAACAGATTTAACGAGAGAAAGCAAAACTGCATAGGGTAACAATGTGAAAGATAAATGGTAATGCAGTGAGAACACGAGAGCGGCCAGGCAGCCAATGACTGACACGTAGGAGGGAGGAACACAAACGGCCCAACAATTAAGCTGCATACATAGTATGCTACAGAGGCTGAAAGCGAAACCGTTGATGCCGCATACCAAGTTCTTCGCTATAATCACGATTGAGGGTTGGCTTGCGCAGCACCTTCCGCACAGGGCAGCCCAACTGCGTCAAACCCCCCAAAGGCAAACTTCCACTTGAAGCCTCGGAGAAACAACCACAATGCACACAGGCACGGACGGTACCACTCGTACTGGCGAGTAACAACGACAATGCCAGAAGTCACGGCAGAAGATCTACAAGGGCCTAGGTCTCAGGGCAGAGATTCCAAAAAAAGTGGGCCTCAATCTCGTCGTCGGCAGTGGCCGAAGTTCCTGTACGTGCTTCAGAGATTCAAAGCCTGAGTTCAGGGTTCGGGTTTGGTTTGGACTTCGAGAATCCTTCTTTACACCTTGAACCTTACCTAACCCCTCAAAAGGAAGCAACATACTGGCCAAACACCTGTTTGAAAAAAGGCAAGTCTTCTACATGCCAACCTTTAAGCTCCAACGTTGAAGGGCAGTGAGGGATTTAGCTCAGAGCTTTGGGGTCCAAACGGTTAAGGGTTTAGGGTTCAGGGATGCAGGGGTTTAGGGGTGTATGGTTCAGGGCTTCAACACCCAGGCCCTCAGCCCTTAAACCTAAAGTGTCGAATCCTAAATCAAAAGCCCTATAAATCCCAAGTCCCCACCCTAAAGCCTAAGCTTTAAAGGGTCCTGGGCCTGGCTGGCTCCAGTCGTCGGCCGCGGCGACACCCCAGTCATCCTCCGCGACGGATTTCGCGGACTCCGGGAAGCCTGGCGAGTCGCAGTTGGAGAAACTTGCAAGATTCCCGGAACGCAACAAAACATGCGCTGGAATGGGAGTTAGGGTTTTAAGGTTTTAGGGTTTAGGGTATAGGGTTTAGGGTTGCAGAACAACATCAGAATGGCATCAGCCTGGCTGGCTCCAGTCGTCGGCAGGTGCGGCAACACTCCAATCATCTTCCGTTGCAGAAGATGTCGGGTAGCCTTTGTCGAACATCGATGGGCAGACAAGTTAGGTGGATTCTAGTAAACCACAGTGGATGGGAACCACTGTGTGAGGCAGAAGGTCAAGTGCAAACGGAGAACTGAGGCTGAACGTCTTTTCAGGGCTTTGGGCTTACCGGAGTTCAGCATTTAAGCACTGGGGCTTTCAGGCGTTTTAGGGCTAATGCTGGCTTAAATGGCACTGATCTAGACTGGCCTGATCCTTGGCTTTGAGGATCCCGGCGATGGCCCAAGTCCTGCCAGGGGTCGTTTAGGGTTTAGGAACTTCTCTTCGAGTACATTATAGAATCTTACAGAGCTATAGCTAGCATATAGCAACTTATATTTTAGTACCCTAAACCCTAAACCCTAAACCGTACCCTATGTAAAACAACAACCGACGCAATGTTTGATGATGATTACGCGTCTTAGCATCTCCGCACCTCCGCTGGTTCAGCCGCAACCTTTCCAGTACCTGGACACTACCCCTGCAAAGCGTGGGCTCAGGATTAAGGGTTATCTTATGATATCTTATAGCATATGTTAGTGTCTTCTGGTGTCTTACAGATATGTTATAGTACTGTCAAACAGATGTGTTATTTCGGGAAAGCGCGGCAACATGACGGCATGGCTGTGAGGCCGAATCGCGGCCCGTACCGTTTTGGAGCACACGGTAAGCATGACAGACGGATAGCCGCCGAAATAATCAGAATAAGGCTTGTTAAGGTTCTTCCACTACAGTCATAGATAAGGACCATAGGGGAAATTATGATTGATGATTCCGACCCCCGACATTACCTATGATAGACTTTACTGGGCCCAAGTCTGCAGTGGATCGGGCACTTCTCAGCACTCGCCAGGAGAGCGGATCACCGCCTCAGGCGCAGAACTTCTGCAAATAATGTAGAAGCCTTATGCCAGTAGGCATTCGCCATTGCTACACAAGCCTGGCATAAGAGAGGAGAGGCTTCAGAGAGAGAAGCGAAGGGCTAAAATCAGGGCCTATAGGGCTTAGGGTTCCCGGAAGCCTCTCCCCGGAATCTCCCGAACTTCCGGGACCCCGGCTACACTCACTTGCGCGACAAGTGAAGACGTGGAGCAGCCGTTTGGGCCGATCCCCATAGCCTGCAGCAACCTGGGTGAAGAGAACCTTGGAGCAGAGCGTAGGATTCAGGGTCTGTAGCAGTAGTAGTAGTAGTAGTAGTAGTAGTAGTAGTATATCAGGCACACTTCAGGGTCTATGTTTGTAGGTGCTTCTGTGTGGATGGGCTCATGAAGTAGATTAGAAAGTCTGCAGGACCTGTATAGCAGGAGGAAGGCTGGACCTCCCTCAAATGGTAGATACCTTGGCCCCAAAGTACCCAAATAGTGACTACTTTAAGGCCAGAGTATATACTATTTAGGTACATGGACCCTTAGGGAAAGGCCCGGGTGGTAGCGGCAACGTCACGCCGTGACTGCAAGCCGGAGCTGAGCCATGCACTATAGCGATAGCCGGATTCGAGCAACTAACGCTTCTACTCTTGCAGGTCCTCTCCTCAGGTGGGACCCAGCGCCGAGCCCCTACGCCGGCACCTCAAACCCTAAAGCAATCCTTAAAGCCTCCCTAAACCCCATAAACCATAAAGCCTCCCTAAACCCTAAACCCTAAAGCCTCCCTAAAGCCTAAACTCTAAACCCTAACGCCTCCCTAAACCCCAAACCTTAAGCCTCTCACGGCTTGCAAATAAGCGCCAAGCCAGTGGCTTTCCACAAAGTCTGCAGTTGAAGAAGTCTGGCCTGGCGTTCTGCTTCGGGGGAAAAGTCTAGGGTTTAGAGATACATAGACAGATGATGGAAGGATAGATAGTTAGTTAGATAGCCAGATAGATAGACAGATAGATAGAGATAGATAGATAGACAGATAGGTAGATAGATAGATAGTTAGATAGATAGACAGACAGATAGATAGATAGGTAGATAGACAGATAGTCAGATACATAGGTCGATAGATGGACAGATCGATAGACAGACAGCTAGACAGACATATAGATAATTACATAGATGTGGCCTCTGCTTGGCGCTTTGGCTCCTGCAAGTGAGATCCATGAACATCCATCCTCAATGCCTGCGCTCACCTGCCTTAAACAAATCCCAAGCACCAATGCCCAATCCCGCAAAGCCAAACGCAAAATCCTGAACCTCTAACCAGCTGAACCTCAAAGCACCTGGAACCCTGAACCCTAAACACCCGCATGAAGCCCTGCACCTCAAGTCGTGCTTAACAGCTTGAGGCATGCCACGCCCTTGAAACTCTTCGCCCTAAACCCTAACACCCGAATGCCATCCTCAGAAAACCCTCTACAATCCTACAACCCTTGCAAAAACCCTTAAGCTAGCTTATCAAGCTCACAAGAACCGTTCAAGAACCCTAATTTAGGCGCCTCATAATTTGGGGTCGTTTATAGTATACTTACAATAGGGAAGCTCCACAATAGTATTGGTAATCATTCAGTCCGCTGCATTAAACCGTCGCTGCAACCGCACGGCCTAGCCTTCGAAGCATCGACTCAGACGAGGGCTCTTTGCTCCAAACTGGAGTACCTAGAGTAACATAGGGGACTGACAAATTAGAATAGGGTTTTGGGTTCATGGGGATAAATATAATAAGCTACTCTGAAGGATTGAGGCTATCGGGTTTCCAACTTCTGGGCTTCTATTATAATGCTTTGTGGTTTCGACAATCCAAGCGACTTTAGAGTTCAGGGTCGTTTAGGGGTTTTCGGGAGATTTAAGGCTTCAGGATCTGGGGTTCAGGGAGCTCGAGTTCAGGAGATTATGGGGTGTAGGCTCAGAGATACGGGTGCATGGTTTGTGGAACTTGGCATTTTGGGCTTATTGGGGCTTGGGGTTCCCTAAACCCTAAACCCTAAACTTTAGGGCTGAGGGGAGATTTAGGGATTTGGGGTTTTCGGGTTTGCGGATCGGGCAGACCAACAGACACCACTTTGTGAGTGCACGCTAGTCTTAAGATAGTGGTGGGTTTCGTATGCCTATAAAGAATCTCACGGATGACTGGTTGGGAACTCCGCAGATTTGAATTGAGAGTTGTCATTGATTCAACGCGCTTGGTCTTGTGCAATCATTACGTTGGCCGACGTCCAGGGCCGAAGGGGCTCCCGATACTAGACACTACCCACAATCTCAGTTACGATGCCATATCATAGTATACTATAGACTACAAGCCCGCATAGCGATTTCTGGTCGGCGCCGAGATGTTTTACTGCCTGCAAACGCATGTCCATGGCCCCCCCAGTTTCGACCAGTGCCGGCCTACTCCACAAGACAAGTTCGCTGGGTAGTGCGCCGGTTGAGGGATTTGTGGTTTTGGATGGTTAAATGCTGTTTAGGGCGGGAGTTTGGGCTTGTGTTTAGGATGGGTTAGGGTGCCTGAGTCGGCACAAGTACCAAGTAGTCTTGGAGAGCCCCCTCCAAATCCAACATTGGCTCTTCTAGAAAAAGCTCGGCGAAGCGCTGCCTTGTAAAATGATTTCTAGCTGACGCCACCGCCTTTCAAGCTCTCTCTATAAAGCCCTGAGCGCAGGACCCGAAAATCGTTCAGCTCAACTGCGCTTAGTTGTATTTCGATATGGGGGTTTCCGAAAGTAGGAGACCCTACTATAGTACCCTGAATAGTAGGATCCTTGTTTTCAGGATCCCAAAATAAGTAAGATACCCCTTCCTAAACCCCAAACCCCAAACCCAAAATAAGGTACCCCCTAATTTTCGGAAACTCCCCAACAGTGGCCTCACCCCAACTCGGGCGCCGAGCCTCCAAAGCGACTGAGTCGGACATCGAGCTCCTCTGGAGGCTGACTAAGGGCTTTTAGGCAGGCATTAAGGTTTAGGGTTTAGGGTTTAAGGTTTAGGGTTAAAAGGTTTAGGGTTTCGGGTTTGGGGTTTGGGGTTTAGGGTTTAGGGCTTAGGGAGGCTGATTAAAGGTTTTTGGGTTTATAGGGCTTCGGGATCCACGATGTTTTGCATCGGGTATCGCTTTGGCCTGGTTTCATGTAGGTTTGGGAGGGAGGGGCGCAAGCCCAAAACACCGCATCACGACGCACGTGGCAACTTGCTGGGGCTCCAACTTGTTTTGCAGGCCATGTGACAACCCTAAACCACCCCAAACCCCTCAAACCGTAAACCCTATACCCGAAAGCCGAAACTGCAGGGATAGGGTGCCGGGTTTGCAGAAAGTCGGTGTGTAACCTGTTGTCTGCTCTCTGATGTCCATTGGGACACTCAGAAAGCTTGTGTATCAACCTCTTATAGGGGCCGCAACAATTACTAGTACTATTTCTTGGGTTCCCTATATTTTAAGTATAGAGTATAATATACAGGCCGAAACCGTAGTCCAACTGCCGAGTCGCCTATACTACCCATACCGTATTATTGGATTTTTAGCAACGCTAAACGACCCTGAACCTGAAAGTCAACACTGCTAACTCTGCATCGTCAAACCTTGAACTTGAACCCGGCCAACCCTACACCCTAAACCCTATAAACTCTAAACCCTAAACCCTAAACGCTAAGCCAAAAGAACCCCAAAACCTGGCGAGACCCAAGCAGTCCGCCGGGCCTCTGATCCGAGCTGGCGGCCCACATAGCCCAAAAGGACATCCTGGCAGAGGAGGGTATCCTATTGCTTGCGCTTCGAAGACTCCATGCAAGCGCTCGGAGTATCTGCCGGACTCAGGATCTTGAAATTCGGCCTCAGCTCAGCTTTGGGGTTCAAGAGCATTTGTGTGGCGGGTGGGGGAGGGGGGGAAGGGCGGTGGCAGCAGTAGCAGGAGCAGTAGCAGTAGCAGCTGCAGCAGTAGTAGTTGTCGTCGTAGTGTTGATACTGTCCTCGTCGCTGTGGTTGCAGGAGCAGCAGCAGCCGAAATCTGCAGACTTCGTAGGGGGGAGGAGCAACAGGAGGAGCGATAATAACATGAACAGAAATTGCAATCATCGCAACCGTAGCAAGTGTGACTTTACATCAGTCCGTGAAAAGTGGTTTCGAAATGTGAGCTGTGGCTTCAACAACAACACTCCCGGACACTGGTGCCCCTGATGCTTTCGACGGTTCTACCTCATTTCCCGAATCTGTGTATCATCACAACAACGCATGCGGCGAAAGCGAATGCCAACTGCCTGCGAAAAAGCCATGGGAGCCCGGGCTTATTGACGTCGCCAGGCTGACTATCAGGCACTACAAGCGGTACTACAGGCATCGCTACAAGGGATGCTGCAATTAATTCAGGGTTAATTACTACGCCGGGCATTATTGTGGTACTATGAGCAGATCTATTTATTGTCTGCAATGGTGCTTCTATACCAGCAGTTACCAGCATCGTGCAGCGCACGACATCGTGCCTGGGCCTGGGGACGAAAGTTGCAGACACTGGTTAAAACTGAGAGGCAGCCAGCGTTTCCATTGATGGGAATGCGATGAGGGGTGCTAGAAGGGTTACTAGAACAGTCACAATAAGGGCTACTTCCAGATGTACATAAGGGGGTTACGTCAGGTGCTGCAATCCGGCATGTCACATGGGAACCGCGGCAAACTGCTCTGTGTCCTCTGCGGTGGAGCAAAACGGACGAAACGGTGTTTCGCAACAATCAGTGCTATCGTACCTCACGGACCAAATAGCCCTTCAACAAGCACGGGCCTCGACACCTACAAAGCCTGTCTGCCTCTCTCTATAACTATTATAGTATGTTATGTGTATCTTCCTTTATAACATAACCATACGTGAAAACCTAACTTATATAAAACTGAATGTTGTGATATAATTAATATACATTACATTACATTTCATTATCATTACTTTACATTACATTGCATTAAATAGTTCTTGTTAATATTTTATGCTGTGATTTATTATGCTCTACTCTTCTATGTTCATTATTTCCTGTTCTTCCATATTGTAATACAGTGTTTTGTACTATAACCCATGATATATATATATATATGTGTGTGTGTACTTAGTGTATATATATATACAATGCTAAATTACATCATGGTACATAAAATGTATAGCAGCTAGCATAATGTTACATTGCATTGTAATACCGAAGATATATCATATTAATCTCTGCTATACAATATGATATCATGAGGGAATGAAATGCGTGTTGTGCTATCTTACAACCATGTTGTACTATGCTCTGATCGATATGACAGATTAAAATATCGGTTGCACACACACACACACACATATGTATGTGTGTATGTATATATATATATATATTTGTGCGTGTGTGTGTGTATACACATATGTAACATATGTATGTACATACATATGTATG